CCTTCCTTCTGCACTTCGACAACAATAGATTTAATCTATAAAATGTGATCTAATTTTCTTAAGTAGTTTGCATCGTCTTTATGATGCTCTGATTTTTTCCTTTTTATTTTATCCAATTTTGGTTAATCAACATCAACTGCTACATCTTCGTTTCCAACTTGAGTCACTAAATTACAGATTTCATTTGGATTAGTTGGGTTAATTTGAAAAGTTTATGATTTTCTGCTTGATGAATAGCATTAAAATTAAATCTGTTCTTATTCTTCTTCTTCTTTTATTTTTTATTATTCCACTACCGTCTACGCGATCTATTATCTTATTCCATCTTCTCTATCTCGTTATTTAGAACAGCATACACCCATTATTTTATATATACAATTCTTATTTAGAAGATTAATAATGATTTATGTAATAAGTTTTGAGTATTTAAATATTTATGTTGTAAAACTTGAGAGAATTCATACAGTTGAATACAGTATTGTTATTTGAGAAGATACGAGACATATTGAAAATTTAAATAATAAAATAAATAATCATTTTTTTTTAACCGATTTTTCAAAAGGATTAATTTTTCGTTTTACTTATGAAATTGATGCCAAACTTTGTTAACTGATAGTTCTCCTCCTCTTATTAGTCAAACCTTCATCAGCTAATTTTATATAAGAATTCTTCGATTAATCTTGATCAACCCCAGGTTATGACAATGACTTCTTTTGTCTTCCTCCTGCTTTTATAGGCTATAGTGTTTTTGAAGTAGGAATTGATTGTTATTGATTATCTTTGATTGGATTAGATTTTTAATATTCAACTTATTATTACTAATTTTACAAAATTTACTTCATCTGATTAAATTACATCATTTAACTTTATCTTTAAATAATGAACGAACCATTTTAGCTTTACTGATTTTAAAAATTGAACTCATTGGATTGGCTCAAATTTCTAATTAAACGCAGTTTTCGTTGTTGCAGTAATTCTAATTACCGTTATCTCTGCTCTTCCAAAATTTCTTCAGCTGATCTCAAATCTATCAAAATTTTATTATTTGGCAAAGCAGTTTCTTTGGACTCATCAACTGAAGAAAATTAGTTTTTTTGTATCTTCTCATTTGTTTAATCAACAAGTGTAGAATTTTGAGTTATTCTACTTTTTGTCTACTCATCAACCTTCTTTGCCTCATTACAAGAAAACATGCTAGAAACTCTTTTTCTTTAAATAATATGAACTTTTGCCAATTAACCAATCTAGCATCTCGTTCTTTTATCAAGCCAGTGTTGTCTTTTTTTGTTACTCATCTATATTAATTTTTTTGATAAATATAATTAAGCTTATTCTTAGAGTAATTGAGGATCTGCAAAGTTTTCATACAGCAGTTTCTTAACATTATAATATAGATCTATATAATGAATGAGCTCTAAAATCTAATGCAAAGCCTTTGAGCCAATTTTAGCTGACATTACTTTAAATTTGTTGATTCGAGAAGCTACTTCAGGAGTCAAATTCCAATGGATATCTTCATAGATTTGCTCAATGAATTTCTCTATTACATCAAATTAATCTAGAATTTTTTTCTATTAATTCTTTTAAGCCATATCTAATAAAATATATAGGTTTATTTTGATAATATTACATTATTTCATTGGGAACAATAAATACCTTTCATGAATTTCTAAGGCCAATTTCATAAATTGAATCCCTTAATCATATTTTTTTTGGTAAATATTAATTAAACCAAGCTTTTCTAATACAATTCCAAAACACTCATCAATTCTCTATTTCTTATAGATTTTGTGAGTAGCCTAATATCTAGTAAGTGCATCAATTAATTCGTAGTTATTTAAATAGCCATTAGCATAAACTAGAGAAGATACAATATTCTGATTTATAGAGTTTGTTTATTTTTGATTTTAATAATAAGAATTTGAAAAGTAAGGTTTAAGAATATCAGAAATACTTAAAAAGCCCTTCAGATTATTAAGTTGATTAATGCATTGTTTATCCATTGAAATAGTTTGAGTGGCTATTTATTTTATTCTTTCAATAATTCCTTTAATTTTATCACTAATGTATAATTATCTGATGTAATTATTTGATCGTGAAGCTTAAAATGTTTTTAAGGCTCGTTGATAAAATCTGAGAGAACTAACCAAAACTCCGTTGCTTTCGTATATCACTGCCATAATTAATTGAAGTATTCCAACATTTTTGGTTTTTAAAACTTCTTTATGTTTATATTTTTCATTCATCTTCACAGCTAACTGACAACATAATTTAGCAACTGCCCCGCTTTCTTCTTACTCCACGTAGACTCTTAGAATTTCTAGAGTAATTTCAATCACTTAGTCAGAGAATTATTCAAATCTCTTTTCTCTTATAGCTTTTGCTCTTTTCAAACATTTCAGTGCATTTTCTTAATCATTTAATTAGGAGTACATTTATCCCAATCTAAATTCTAAAACTGATTAATTGGTGGTTGATACATTATCAACATCCCTAACTACAAGTTATGGTTTAGTTGGTTGAGCTTATTGATTTTCTTATTTTTGGTTTTATTATTACTGTTATTTAGGTTCTATAGTTTTTTCTGGGATAATTATTGAAGATGGAAAATACAAATCATATAGTTGTTTACACATTTCTAAATTGAGCATTGCAGAAATAGTTTACATAGTTTTAGCACATAATTACCCATTCAAAAATAAACAATAGGCATAAAGAAGAGAGTTTTTTTGATTTAATTTCTACTACAAAGTAATTATTTTTTACATGTAATGGATTGCTTAGGAATAATTGTGTCGACTGATTAAGTTTTCTGTGTAGAACACTTGAAGTACTATTGTTTTTCTCATTTCAATCAATCCTCCAGGAGCATGATTTTATTTCAACTTTGGTTTTACCTACTCCTTTTTAATCTTCTATTATGCTTCGATCAACTTTTAGAGTTGAATAATCAAAGAGAATGGACGATCATTAGATAAAGTTAAGAGATTAATCAAAACATAATAGTGAAATGGATCTTATCGGTCAATAGGATGAGCTACTGCTTAATCAATAGAGGGTTAAAGGGTTTTTGCTTATTCATTAAGGGAAGACTCGTAATGTGATTCATTAAAATCTATTTATTAAAAAGATTATAAAATATGAGAATGAACCGCATGTAGGGTGTCTGAGCTGTTCTATTGATAGGATATACAATTTTGTTAGAAACGATAATTCATAAAGAGGGAAGAATATAGTAATTCTTTGTATAAGCATTTCAGAGTTGTTACTTTTTGAGATTTATTGAATTCTGGGAGTGAATTCATTTATTAAATTAAGTCTAGATTTTCTATTTCTGTTATAAATTCATCTCTCTCACTATTTGACTAATCGTAGACTTAGAAATTTTGGTTTTCTTTCTATTATTTTTTATCTGTTTCATTTCTTAATTCTAATTCGGCTATAATTTATTCCAAATTAGTTGTAGTGTCTTTCAAGTCACATAATAATCTATAAATAAATTGAAAGTAAGTACTCGTTCAATTTTTCGTATTAGATCTCATCTAAACTAAATCTAATTACTTCAACCAAAGTCTTCTCGTAGTCTTTATCAAAAATAATTTCTGCATATTTTAAATATTCAGGAGAGTTATTTGTTTTAGCTAATTTACGAAGATGTTGGATACTATCTAATGTTTTGTTGACATCTTTAAAGTATAGAATTAAATCACATAAGGCAGCAAAATCCTTTTTAAAAGACCTCATAAAAAACTTTAGTTTCTGTTCAGGGACATTTTTTATGTTAAGCTACTGATCTCCATCAAATGGTATTAAACTTTACATTCTACAAAAAGATTAGATCTTAAATTTTTTGAATCGCTTTGTATAAAATATTGTGGATAAAGTGAAATTGATTCTATAACAATGATTCGAATAACTATTAATTAAAGCTTAAATTAAATTGTGTGCTAATTTTAGAAAGCAAATTTGGGACAATTTAACCTCTTCATGCTTCATATACACAAGCAGATCATGAAGATTATAATCAAGACTCTCATAGAAAATGGCTACTCTATACACATTAGGCTATTCCATTTTAGGCAATTAATCAAATAAAAAAATCAACTCCTCAATGTAAACAAAGCTATTACTAATTTAAGGTAGTTATTCCTTCAATAATAGGGCAAATAATATTTAAAGAAATCTAGGCTAGGCTTCCAAATCAAAAACTTATACAACTTCAAGTAATTCACTTACAAATTCTGATTTTTTAACATTTTATCTCTTTTTTAAAGGGGATGGACTTTGATGTTCATCTAAAACAGAAGATGATCTTCTAGAATATCTTTTGGTAGGTGATATTCTGACCTGTCTATCTATTGTCACAGTTCTTTCCACATGTAATAATTTCTCGAAATAATTAGTATTGTGTAAAGGATCAGCGTTAATGTTAAAGTAAAAGTCATTTTGAAAAAAAGGAGAGAATCTCGAATGTTTAGCAGCGTCCTCGTAAGTATTTGGAATTAGTTGAAACGTTTTCTTAGGATGATTAATTAAGACTCCTTTTAATTAGACATTGTGACAATAACCCATATATTCTAGTACCATTATTATATTATATTATGACTAAGTCTGATCTTATTCTTCTTCAATAATAATAGATTTAAGTGTTATATGATACTCTATTTGCTTGAGATAATTTTCATCTTTAGTTTTTTTCTTCCTTTTCTTTTTAGTAGAAGCCTTCTATTCAATGATCTATTAGCTGGCCGTTTCATTTAGATCTTTAGAAACTATTAATTAAGTTTGTGTGTTAATCTTAAGAGTTATTTCCTCCTCATCAAGTAATTGTTAATTTTGATATGCTAATTCTTCTTAAATTTACATATCTTCTTATTCCTTTACTGTATTATTGATTTGCTTTTAAATAATTGCATAGCGATCATTCTTCTTGGCTCCAAAACATATACCCATATATTTTAAATATGTAATAATAATATATATTAAATTAGTCAAAATATTCATTTCTTTCTTTTGACTTTTTGGAAAGGGTTTATTTTTTTATCTTAACTTTTCGATTAAGATGGTGATTTTATGCTGATGGGACTGAGTACTGGACTGACTAAAGCTGTTGCTGGTAAGGATGTTTTTAACTTTGAACTTGTTTTTTAATCTATTTCAAACTCTTACAATTGCTCATAAATTTCAGGCCTATCTTATTTAAACTATTAAATTTATTGATCTTTTTCAGTCTGTGTTATTATAATTGAATTCTTTATTTTCTACGTTTTGTCAGCTCTATCTGTGATTTATTCCTTAACCTTTCCGATTTGTATATCAATTTTACTTTTTGACAATTCCATTTATTCCCCACTTACTACTTCATTTTTTTAATTCATTTATTAATCTGGTGACATTGTTGCTTTCCAAGTGGCTTGCCTTCTTTTCCCCTAACTGAATAAACCGAACAGACATGATTTCCTCTGATTTGAAATATCTGAATTTTTCACAGATTGTTAATTGAATTTCTCATTCAAAAATTTTTCTGAAATGGCATTCAAAACCTAAGCATTATTTAAATTCTGTCCAAATTTGACTCTTAGCGTATTATAGTTTTCTACTCTTTCAAAAAGGTCATTAAGCACATATAATACCTATCTACCTAATTTGTTTGATAATATGGCAAATTTATTTGATCTTTATTGATACGGGACGTTTTACCAATTCAATAAATCATTGATATTCTAAATAAAGTCATCTATGAGGGTTAACTATTTTTAAACATCTTTACTGCTCCTTAGAATAGCATATCCAAGTAATATATATATTTCACATGTCAATATCCTCATTTCTTTCAATGGGAACTACAAATATCTATCATGTAATTCAGATGCCAATTTTAAATGTTGTATGGCTGTTTTTAAATTTCTTTAAATTAAATATATGGTACCAATCTTCTCCAAGGTAAATCCATAACATTCATCAATTTTCAGTTTTTTAAATTTTTAATGTATTCTTTAATATCTTCTTAACGCCTATTAATACTCCAAATTTCTTAAGCTTTGGTTTGCTCTAATGTACCTTTTCATCAAAGTGATATTATATAAAACTATCTTATCGTTTTCTAACATTCGAATAAACTAATTATTAAAGTAAGGTTTCACTTTCTCAGACAGATGACCAAGATAATGCTCAATATTAAACTCTGATTGCTATTCTAAACTATGGGATTAATACGCCTTTAATTTAATCAACTCAACTATTTTTCGTATTTTCTATAAAATATGTAATTATCTAACATAAGAGTTGTTTTTTGACATTGCAAATGTTTTGTTAGCTTTTTGATAATATTTTAAAGCACTCACCAACATCCTATTACATTCATATATCGCTCCCATGATCAATTACAAACGAGCTATGAGTCTGCTTTTTGTTATAATATTCTATTTAGCCAAATATTGAAATTTTGCATAATATTCTTAACAAATCTCTAAGGCAGCTCCATTTTCTTCTTATTCAATATGTATTTTTAAAATTTACAAGACCACTTCCAAAACTTCATCAGAAACTAGATCATACTTCTTTTCTCTCGCTTCTTTGACTTTTCTCAAACATTTCAAGGCGTTCTCTTTTTCAGCCAATGTAAAATAAACAAGACCTAAATTAAATTCAACAATATTCAAATTTTCTGATCCTTCATTTTCAAAATGAGTTACAATTTACTTGTATTATTTGTTATTTTCTTAATATTCTACATCTACCATTTGGTTGGTCTCTTCATCCAAATACATAAACTTCTAAACAGGGAAAAATTGTTAATAAATCAGTCTACAAACTTCTAAATTCAACATAGCTGACACTGGCTACATCATTTTTTCACAAAGAACTCCACTAATGAAGAGACTTCGACCATAAAGTAAATAGGATTTTAAATTGAATCTTAATTATTAGGTTATAATATGTTATACTAATTGAGTGGCATTTTAGAATAAATGACGTTTCAGATAATGATCAATGTAAAACAGATCCAATATCAAGGCCTTTCTCATTTCAATTATTCCTGTGCATGTATGATGAGTACTTAATTTAGGCCGTATTTATTTTCTTCTTATGCTATTTTATTGCTGAATAAGTGACTTGAGTTAATTTAATAATTAAATCGGTTTATCAACTAATGAACTTATTAGAGTAAGTAACAAATAATAATGAAAGGAATCTTAAATAATAAACACCTTCTCCTTTAACACTAATTTGCTTGCCTCTTGCAAAATTAATTATTATTCTGCTAATTTTTATTCTCTTGATGGAATATTCATAGTTTGTCCTATAGATTATAGAATAAGAGCATATGCCCGATGAGCATCATTTGTGCATATTTCTAAGAATTTCTAACTTCTTTCCATAAATGTCTCAAAGTAAAATAAGGCTGAGTATTTCATCTCATTAAATAGATCATTTTCGCTTGGTTAAACTTTTTACTTTTTTGATTTTTTTGGCAAATGAGTTTCAAATGTATGTTATTCGTTTTCAACTTCTGCATTAATGCCTACTTGCTCATTATTATTTACTTTAATAACGCTATCATTTTAAAAAATCATCTATTCCTTTAAATCATTCATTTTCTCCCTCTATTGGGTTTCATCCTAAACTTATTATTCTAAAGTCATTAATAATGTCTTGATCTCCTCTAAAATGTAGTCAAAGTTATCTTTATCGATGGGCTAGCATTTTAACCTTATTAATTCATATATTAATTTGTCTGAATTTTCAGAATCTAATAAATTCATCGCAAATTCGGCATATTTTTAATGGTGCAGATCTGAGTTTTTTTTTTTCCTCCTAATTTTCTTTATATTTGCAATTTAATTATCAATATTTTTGAAAAGAAGAATAAGATCACACAAAGCCCCAAAATCCTTTTCAAAGTCTCTTATAAAGAATTTATACTATTATTCATTAACTGTTTAAAGAAGTTATTAAACTTCCTATTCATTCGAAAATCTTATTAAAGTTTATAATCTTGCAAATGCTTATAATCTAAATCTTTTATTTTTACTAGTATAATAGACTGATTTTAAAGTGAAATTACATCGATATGTATAAGAGTTGTAACAATTGTAAAATATCTATATCAGGTCTTAGGATAATCTTAGGAATAACAAATGAGACAATTATTTTTTCTCTTTTTTTAAATAATCTTACAACTCTTATAAACTATAGTCTAAATATTCGTAGAATATTGCCACCTTTTAAACCTATTGTTCATCCAAAGAAGGTTTCTAATCAAAAAGAAAGTAGACTTCAGATATATTTACTAAATATGGTTTTAACTTTGCCATCTATTATTAGACCATTAAAAAAAATAATAACTAATGGAAACGGGGGCATAATTCCAGATCAAATACATGCATAATTTCCAACATTTCTTAAACAACTTCAGTTTGAATTTTCCCTTTTTGCTTTTTAGGTGATCTTCTTGGACTATTCAAATTTTATTGAGAATCCTCTTATTTCTATTGCCGTAGTTAAAATGCTTAAGGGAGAATTGCCTATTCCTTTTTCTTTTTCAGAGTTCTTTCTACCTCCAGTAAAGTATCAAAAGATTGTCTGTTAGTGTTTTATTATTAATCTACCGTAAAATAAGTATCATTTCTAAAAAATATATCGTAACCTGAATTTGAAGATGCTTCCAAATAAGAATATGGTTTGATTGAAAATGGTTATTCTGGTTCAGAAGTAACAATCGCTTTGCATTTTATCTCATATTAAAATTCTAAATGACTTGTATTTATTATGAAATCGTAGTACATAGAAACTTCATCATGTTTCGGAGTTAGAATGTAGTAATTAATCTTAATGCTTTTGTATTCAATAATTTTAAGATAATTTTCATCTCTTTTTGTCGTTTTTGATTTTTATTATTTTTTTTCTTACTTATCCTCTTCTTCTTCGCTTTTTTGTATTTTTGCTAAGTGTTCTTCTTTTTTTTAATCATTTATCACTGGTTCAGGCTATTCAATAATATCATTGCACTCTTATTCCACATTCTCAATAATAGACATTTCTTCCTGTTCTTGAACAGCCCTTTAAATTTACGTTAAGATAACTGCGTCTTAGGTTCTTTGTTATGAAATGCAACAACCCATTAAATTAGTGATTTAAAATAAGTAAATTTATTAATAATTAGTAGTAAACAATGTTAAGAGAATAGCAATCTGTTTTGAATTTTAAAATAATGAGTTAGGAAATAATCTCATTAACACTAAAATTTATCTTAGTTTTCATAAAATATCTCCTATAATCACAACAATTCATCGTATAATATTTATAATTATTTGACCTTTGATTAGCCTTTTATAATTTAAAGTCAGATTGATTTTACTAATGTATTCCAAATTAATTAATACACTAACATATATATTTAAAAAATATAAGGATCTATTGATATTAATTAAAAACAAAGTAATGGTGAAGATTACGATGATGTATATTTAATGCAACTATATATAATATCTTTTTAAAGTTAATAACTTTGTTATTTTTCAAAATTACCAAAGGTTCATTGGATATGTTTTTAATAAATCTTATTTCTTAAGCAAATTTTAGCTTCAATTAATAATTATTAATTTTCTTTTAGACTCAAAAGATTAAAATATTTCAAACAAGTTGTTACTATTATCTGTTAATAGTATGATATCAATAATTTATGGTAAACTCATTTTCGTATTCCTATCCTTTTTCTCTAAATTTTTACTTTATCCATTATATTACCTCAATTATTTTTCAATTAAGTAATTAAATTTTCAATCATAACAGTTGCTCATTTGTTAGACTGTCTTTTTTATAAGTTTTGAACTTTTATTCAATAAATTACACACTTTCTAAAAATGGGGCACAGTTTTCACCATCTTAATTCAATAAATTGAAAAATCTAATTAATTAGCTTGCAAGAAGAAAAGATTGTAAACTTGATAATAAAATTAACAATATCATTAGATGATTTATCTATTAATAATCTAAATTAGAATAATTATAAAGTATCCTCAAATGTTAATTTTTTTTGAGGTACGTATAAATCCAATAACCAAATTTGATTAGATTCTTCAAGCTGTTAGTTTGATCTTTAAGTATTAATGAATAATAATCACAATTAAGCAGATATACTAAATTAGTATTATAGGATGAAATTATATGAAATTCGCTATTGAAAAAAATAGAGATTTTCAGGTTTAAATCTAATCAATAAATCTAATAACAAAGGATGGTTTGAATAAGAATTTACTAATTTTGTTAGAACACATATTGTTAAGAAAGGAATTTGTATTAATTATTATACGATATTAAAATTATATTCAGTTATGAAGAGTTCTTTTAGAAAGAGGGATTGCCCGTTCTGTTAAAAATTAAAATGTTCAAAAAATGTCAAACATTTATACGCATATTTAATAAATAGTGTATCATTCATTAAAGATTGAGAAGGCCTTGTACACTAAATATTCATAATAAAAAGTCAAAAAATTTGAGGACTTTTTTTCAACAAAACCAGTAAAGTGGGTCATAGATTTCAAAGATAACTTGCATGTAAAGGAAAATGAGGAGTATTTAAAAAAGTAATTCAATTTGTAATATGAATATAGATATTATCCAAGTACAATACAATCAAACAAATTTAAGCAATTATTAGAGTATTACAAATATCATAAAGACATACCAAGAATGTTTTTTGGATTCCTTGCAGATATGGCTACTTACTTTTATGAGAAAAAAAAGTAATTATTTTCATGATATCAAATTTAGAAAATATGAATACAGAAAGATCAAAATTTAACTAGGAATTCCATATGAATAATCTAGTATAAGCACATGTATTGAGTTTTCTGTAATAAATAGAATATGAAAAATTAAATGAAGATATTCAAGTATTGAATAGTATAACAAAGTTGAGCGAGAAATCTGCGAAATCTCTTCTAAGATAAATAATCAAATTCTAAAAGGATGAAGATTATATTGTAATTAGTCTATTTACTATTTTAGAATATAGATGAAACTTGGTTAACAATGCAATAATAAATTTAAACAGAAAAAAACAATTAAAAATAACTATCGAAATAACCAACTTAGAATTTGAAATTATTGAAGTAATTAGTCATAAGAAACAATCAATTAAATAAAGATAAGTTAAAATTAAACTTGCCATTTAATTTGATAACTGGAAAAGTTTAATCAAATATTAGAAATTCCTAAAAGTAATCTCCAGAACGGCCTATTCCAACCTAAAAGTCATCCTCGTAATAACACATTAATAGCAGTTAAGAAGAGAATGAATTTTAAAAATTCATGAAAGCCAAGATCATAAAACTATCTTAAGATAATAAGATAAAAATCCAAAAAATATTCTCGAATAAGGTTTATCAAAACAATTGTAATAGCAACTAAGCTAAACATAGTAGTGCTCACTTTATTACTAGTACTAGAAGTGTTTCATCAGAACAATTAAAAACAGAATAAATGCGTTTAAGTTAAATTATAAATTCTGGTGGTAATAATCAAAGTCAACCTAAATTATTTAATTACATTACACCTTTACATAAAAAATCTAATTCACAGTAATCATTATAGACAGAATTCACACCTGCCAAAAAGGAATCAAAACTTATTAAAATATACTCTAACAATTTTAGTAGCAAGATCAAGACTTAACCTAAAAAGACTCCTGAAAAATTAAGATAGTTTTATAAAGCAAGTGCATAAACATCTCAGAATAGTTCTTAAAAGAATCTTATGAAAAATCTCGACAAACTTTCCTCCTTTTAACAATTTAAAATTATGTTGGAGAGTCCTCAACCAAAATAAAAAAAGAAATTATAATTACATAATACAGATACAATCAGATTATAAACAGAATACAAACAAATTACAAAGAGACAATCTATTACACTAACTCATAATAAAATAAATGGAAAAATTATCATCAAGAAATAATGAATTTTCTTTAGGAATTAAAATAAATATTCACATCAACACAATTTTTTATCCAAACTTCTTATTTAAATTCTTATCTGAAATTACTACTTGGTTATTCATTTTATTTTGTAAAAATTGTTTCTATTTTATTATTCATCCCTCTTTCTTTCGAGATTTCATTTCAATTTATTTGAGTAAAGGTCAAAAGTAGATAATAAATTATTTATATGATTCGATTTTAGTTTTATTCTAAGTATTTTTGTTTAAAGAAAGTTAGTTTGAAAATAAAAGTCTGATAACTCACAAATATAACAAATAGCATCATTTTAAGATTATAACAATTCAAATAATTCTAATTAAAATAACGATTATACAACATTTAAATATTTATGATAATAAGAAATATTTTTTGTTATGTTTTCTAATGAAGAAGCATTGAAGTAAAGAAATCTTAAATTTATTTATACGATCATGATCTCATTATTCGAACATAAAATAATTATATATATTTTTGATATTAAAATAATTATTTATTAATGAGTCAAATGACTTTAAAAGATCTGATCACCTAAATTAGGAAGGTGAAAAATTAAGAGAACAAATCTATAGGAGCAGTATTAATCTATATAATAAAAGTTTTTACAATTAATTCGATAAAGGTATGATGTAAAGGATAAGGGGAAATGCATGAATTTGATAGCTAGTGGTTTTGCAAGTGTACTTTTAGAAGTAATTTTCAAAGTATAGCAATTAATTGAAATTTAGTTGAATGTCATAGACGAAAATGATAGAATGGAAGCATTTTTATTTTATAGGGATCTATTACAATACGAATATTAAAACGCAGATCGATAATTAAGAAAGTCAGATGATTAATTAGAATCATATAGACTCATCAAATTATTGCCTAATTAGTTATATGAAGTATTCTAGAACCCCAATAAAATTTTAGCTTTTTTTGGATGATGGAGATGAAGCAGCCATTTTTAGTAATTTTAGCAGAGAATGGAGCACACCAAATTTGGTCTGGACCTAAATGATGATGAAAGAAATGTTGCTTATTTATATTGAGTAATACAAATGTGATATGTAGATATAATAATCAAATTTTGAAAAAGCTCTCTAATGATTATGGATAGATTTTCCCCATAAATTAGCCATTGTACTTTGTATAATTTATAATAGATTTCCTGAATAACGGAATGAAACTTTTGTTGAAAATATGATGCTCAAAGAGTATAATCTCCAACCAAATTGGTAAATTGATGAAGGACTTATTGTATTTATGAATGAATTAAATGAATCAATCAATCAATCACTTCGACTATATCTAGATGGGAACTTCAATAATACTGAATCTTCTATCAGATAATTTGAGAGATTAACTTGCAAATTATTAACCCAGCTTACATCTTTTGAATTAGCTTTGGAATAGTTTTTTTTTAATTCATCGCACCCTGAATTTGAAAATGAAATGAAATTATTGGAGGATTATGATTAATCTCAAATCGATAAATTACTACAAGAATAAAGAGATACTTTTCCCATAACAATTGTGAAAAGTGTTTAGAAGTGGTTAGAATTAATCAGTGCTGACCATATTACTATTAACCCGTTGATTAAGTCTTGCTTAATTCAAATTCATAATATACTCTCATAATCAGAAGTAGCTTTAGTTATTATGGATGAATTTGACATTCTTCACAAATCTTTGAATTTTTGTCTAAAAGTTATGAATAGTCAATAACATAAATGTAACATTTATATGATATTTTTAAGATGATAAGCTGTTAGCATTAGTGACGATCTGCGATATGATCACTTTTAAATTTTTGATTTCGAAACTAGACTCAAAGCATTTCAATTAAATATTATAAATCTATTAGACAGTAATTAAGGAGGATTAGATGATAATCCATGCTTTTAAAAATTTGATAGCACTCATTTATACAGATAACTCTGTTTCTGGTGATTTCAATAAGTTTCTGTTGTAAGAAAGCGTGACAATCTAATCAAGCGATCTTAAAATTTTATAAAATAAAGATTTTAATAAATTGAACTTATGGAGAAAATAATTTGATGAGAATTACAAAATTCCAATCTATGAATAACTATCAAAATCTACTAAAGAATATCCAGTCTTTCCTATTATTTCAGAATGTGCAATATAGCAATTACCATATATGTCTGAGATTCTAGAGAATAGATTGAAAATGATAAAAAAATATTATGACGAATATATTTCCAATTTGTAATCAGAAAAAATTATTGAAATAAATATGAATTTAAATTCATAATATGAACCTTAGACTGAGCAAATTTCCCTTAGGCAATCGACAGTTGTAAAGGAATAATCAGACCAAATATTAATAGGTGAAGATGAAATATTTTCATGAAAATTTAAGTTCATTATATTTTACAAGTACTATAATTGATTTTCTTTGGTTTTATATTTCATAATTTACTGCACTGATATCGAACTGAGATTCAGCATTTGATTACACTAAATCTAATTCTCGAAAATTAAATAGCAAATTCATCAATATTAACAAAATGGTTCTACTTAAATTTCAAAATAGATAATCATATATAATTAAAAATAAATTAAAGCAATGATTAATTATTTCTAGCTCTTAGTCTCGATAAATCCCAGATTCGAAATTGTATGAGAGGCTACAATAAAAAGGACACCTAGAAGATGTATCAAAATCTAGCCAAATCCAGTAAAAATTGAACAAGATAATAAAGATATGGATCAAAACCTAGAAAGGGAAACTATTTTTTTATTTTCAAAAGATAGTATTACTGCAAAAATATAATTATAAATAATTACTTAAGAAACGAATTGGAGAGTTAGTAGATTTTTTTCAACTAAGAAGTGTTTCAAATTGTGTTAATGTTGCTTTAATAAAGAACACAGTAATTGTATGAGACATATAAAAGACAGTACAACCGGAAATTTAGAAGGATAGTGTGATTGAATTACTGAATAAATGATCTCAATAAAATATACAGATAATATTGACTAAGTTATCCAAATTTATTTGATAATTTCCCTTTCTATATTTTATCCTGGCCAAAGAGGAAACAGAACTGAAACCTCTTATCAGAAATTTTTTTAATTTATTAATATTTATTTAATTTTATCATTAATAATGCTCAGTGGTACTATTGAAATATTTGTTCATCTAAAGGAATTTAGAAATGTCGACCTTTACCATTAAGGAGTATATTAATTAAAAACTACAATATTCTAAAAAAGTTAAACTTAATCCGAAACATTATTTGCTTAGCCATATATGACAGTAGAAAAGAAAAAATTTGCTCAGAGCTAAGTTACTGATATTCTAGTTGAATAACACAAACTATTAGACACCACTTTCTACAGCAAAGCATTCATCATTAAATATTGTGATTAAGTAGTTGATTTAAATGAAGGCTGCGTATTTAGAATAGAAGTTTAAGCTTATCCTGAAATGGACCCTCATAATATTTATTGCATTATAGAACTGTTGTTTTGTGAACTTAGTACAATAACGCAAGAAGACTTTAAAATAGTATAATAAAATTTGATTATAGGATAAATTGTAACAATATTAAAAATGCGTAGCAAAATTTGAAAGTAGATTACACAATATAAAGTTGATAAAAGAATTTGTATCTTGCCAATTCGATGAATCTCATTTTTGCTAATTAAAATTAACCATTCATTCAGTTTTAGTTGATTTTAAATATCATTAAAACGATGCTACTCTTGAATAATTTATGAGCAGCATAACTAATAAATGTAATTCAAGAATTATATCTATTAGTTAAATAGAATTTGGTATCTGAGTTTTATGCAGGCTATAATAAAATATTGTTATAAATACATGAATAACTTGAAAGTTATTATTAGACAAACGTAAAATAATGTATATCAGATGAACACATACAAAACAAATTTGGGCAATTACAATATTTGAATAAATCTGTAAACTTTAGGGATTTCTCTGAATACAGCACAAGAATGGATGACTTAAAAGCAAATGTCCAACTATAGGAAGAGTTTTGTAATTAATTATTTTTGGAAGTTAAACATACATCCTCCAAAATTTTTGTTGTTTGGTATTAATTCATAGATGCACATACTTTTATGGCTGATACTTTGACCAAAATCTTAGAACAAGAGTACATCCAAAAAATAAAAGAGAGATGGGGAGAGAGCATCTTCTAACATGTTTAAACAGTAGAGGATTTATCATAATCAGAGATTTAACTAGGGAAAAATCATAAAATGATGGCAAAATAATACAGAAATAATAATTATTACAAATAATTAGAACCATTAAATATAGAAGATTTAGATTTGTTCCCAGAAGCAAAAATTCATCCAATAGTATTTAGGGATGTATCAAGAAAGTAAGAATTCTAACTGAAAGCTGTAAAAGGGCTTCATTTATTTGTTTTTGTTCATGGCTATTAAGGGAACTCATATGATATGAGATTATGGAGAAACAACATGGCCATCAGATATCCTGATCATTTAACTTTATTATCAAAATGTAATGAGGACGACACAGATACAGACATACTAGTAATGGGAGAGAAATTAGCCCTAGAAGTAAAGAGGTGGATTAAAGAATGGTGTCCAAAAGACAATTTTTCTAAGTTGTCATTTATAGGCCATTCACTTGGAGGAATCATAATTAGAGCAGCTTTACCTCATTTGAGTAAATACAAAGATAAAATGTTTACCTACTTGTCATTAGGAAGTCCTCACTTAAGTTACACATTATCATCAAGTAAGGTTGTTGATACAGGTTTATGGTTCATAAGAAAATGGAAAAAATGTATTTGCTTAAATTAGTTAACGTTGAATGATTCTTCAAACCCATTTGAAACTTGCCTCTATAAATTGTCTACATATGAGGGTTTAGGATGGTTTACAAATATTGCACTCATGAGTTCATATTAAGATACTTACAGTCCTTTTGAATCAGCTAGGATATAGAGGCCAAAAGGAAGTAGTAAGGATGTCATGATTATCAATAAAATGATCGATAATATCATGAAGAATCTATCTAATTAGAAGATCGATAGATTAGATGTGAATTATGAATTAGTCGGAAAGTATTGTAGTTTATATTCGTAGATCTTTGGATACCATGATTGGGAGGGCAGCTCATATTGCATTCATTGATAATAGCGCATTAATTAAATTGTCTCTATACAGTTTTGATGAATTATTTGATTGATTTACATTATAAATTTAATTCATAATACTAGTAAACAAAAAATGAGAAAAGCCAAAAATCCTAAGAAATAAAACCTCATTATTTCTACAATAACAACTAAAATATTACTGAATCTCAACTCGCGAGAATAATTGCCTTTTAGTAAATCTTGTATGTTAGGTGATCCCATAAAATTTATGCAGCCGTGATTAATAACAACTGCTATCAATGTTTCGGTTTAAACTAGAACGTAAGACAAATACACTCCAAGTGATAAAGACTTTAAAATCTGTTTGACATAATTCCATTTATTTGCAGACAATTATTTGGGCTCAAATAATATTAAACGAACTTTAATAATATTATTAATATACCTAGTAAATAAAGAAAAGTTGAATATATCATATAAAAATGATTATTCTTGTACTCTGGATTGAAAGAATTATTAGTAAATCCTCTAAAAATTAATTCTTCAATTAATGGAGTCTAAATTTTATCGTTTCTATTACCACAACTATTTTAGAAAAGTAGTCCCATCTAAACTTATTGAATTAAAGTTTGCCCAATTTCTTTTTTAAATTGCCATTCTAATTTGAATCAAAATAGAGATACCCAAAATTCATGGTAAATAGGTCCACCATATAAAACAAAACTCATGTAAAATGAAATTGCTATTCCCATACACACTTTGGAATTGTTATTCCATTACATAATAGTTTTAAAATCAAGCTTGTACTATTGATACATTGTTGTGTAACTGTGAATTAAGCATAAGAATGTTGGAAATCCTAACAAAAGAATCTTGATTCTTTTTCTTTAGTATCGACCTTTCTTTTAGTTTGAACTACTTTCACCAAATTATCCTAGTGTAATAATTGGTTTATACTCTCTTTATACAGTCTATAAATCGATTTGCTAATAATGTAAGAAGAAACATATATTAATGTATGCAGATATGCAGATGATTGATTTATCGTATTCATCATTTTTATATTATTAAATCAAATTTTGTTATATATATTTGCTTTTATTCAATCTCTTTAATTTTTAATCCTAGAAATAATGCTAAACCTATTTATACTACAAATTGATATGAAATCATCCTAAGAAATTTGTGTTAATCGAGGTCTACTTTTAATCTTATAAGATTGTGTTATTGATTGGTTAACAATTTGCAAATTTGAAGTGGTATTTGATCAATTTGAATTAAATTCATTCACAACCCTGAATTTTTCTGTGTGATTACAAACAACAAGCTTTCCTTATTAAAATTGAACTGTTTTTTAGTAGAAATTGAGCTGAGAATGTATTATTACAACCTTTTTGAGAAGAAATATATTCCATTATCTAATTTTAAGTTCATTTTTTATTATTCAGTTTCTTTTCTATCAATATGAGAATTTGTTGATAGCACATATTAGAAAGAAAAATTGATAACAATATTTGATATTATATAATGTCTTCAAAACTTAGATTTTATTAAACAATGCTGGACATAAGACAAAAGAAGAAAATTTACACTAAGTAACCTGGAAATGATTGCACTATCATTGAAGAACGGAGATGAAATTGAATGATGCTATGTTTTTTTTTGTTAAATCATAATTCTTCACGATGTTTCCACAAACTTGCCAATTCTGCGTCATACCAGTATCCTCTATATTTTTGAACAGACCCAATTAATGGTAGAAAAGGAACAATTGAATCTAACACAATTTGATCCATGAAGATCATAACAAATATTGTTGCTACCCAATACCCTGAAGTGTCTGCATCTACAAACTTCATCATCCATATGCTTATTAGAACGCAAGCCCATAATGCCAGAAACATGAATCCATAATACACATACCAAGTCGTGTACATTCTATTCTCTTCATCTAAGATGGCTGCATGTAATTTTTCAGCTTCTGGAGAAGTTTTGGTCTTAATTTATAAATATTATTGATACAGTAATTTGCTTATAATCTATCTCCAATTTAATTTTTTCTTTGTGTTACTCTCTAGCAGTAAAAACTATCCATCCAAAAAAGTAGCCCACTGGCCAAGCGAGTACTATTGCAACAATTCCATACCAAAGTATAATTGCATCTCCAACTTCGTAAGTTCTATCTAAATGGAATTATCCATATAATATAGAAATTATTAGAACTTCCCAAGCAAAGTATAACAAATAATGAGATTACCTCGATAATTTTGAGAAGAATATATCATTGTTCAATTTGTACATACTGTACAAGGGAATCATAGTTAATCTGTTATCTTTGTATTCTTCCAAAAATACTGATTCTGTATCGTTTTCAGTGCAAACCATAACGATCCACCACACTAATAATCCGACAATCCAAAGCCAAACTGCATAGTTCTATCTTAACACAGTTTCTTCCAAAGTTCCATAACATATCTTTACCATCTCTTAATCCATTTCATCTTGTGAGACAGCGGTTGGATTTGAATTTGGGATATTTTAGTATTCTTCTGAGGGACCAAAGAATGTGTTTACAAATGATTAAGGAACATAAAATTTTTTTCTGTTAAAGTATATGTTTTACTGTTTATCTCCGTCCTTACCAACAAAAGTCATGTACTAAAAGAAATATCTTTATATGGCATCCAATTATCGATCTGGATTTACATCCACATTAAATTATTGAGTTGGTTTTTTACGATTCTAAAATCAATAAAATCAATATACAATTTGTGTAAAAGGAAGAAGCATATCGATTCCATCAGGTAAATGGGATTATATTCCTGAGTAGCCAGTAGTAAAGAACACTGAAACAACAGCTGTTTTTCTATCAGCAAGTTCTTAATTTGATTACAAATCATATTGAGTCTGTTCAAATATTAATTAAAGCTCCAATTCTTAACTCTATGCATTCTACAATTATGCATCTTATTCAACAATTATTAAGTTTTGAGCCTTTCTGTATAATCTCATTTGTTTGATTGAATATTACCAAGTTGTGTAATGTATATCACAAGCATGTAATTTGTTATCAACAACAGCTTAATAATCTTTGAAGCCACTTAGCTAAATCAATAACACAATTCAATACTTAATAAAATCCTCCTGTCGAATTAAACTAACCAATCACTTAGGCTGTATAATCGGCCAGAGTAAATTCAAAATGTTCGATGTAATCACATCCTATATCTGTCATATTTAATTTAAGTGGTAATTAGTACTCTTTGGCCTAGCTATCATGTTAAATTATACTTATGCAATAATAATTCCTACTAAAATTAGCAGCAGTTAAACCCTAATCATTAATATATTAATTAATAAAATATCTGATATGTGATTTGCCTTTTTAATTATTTATTCTAAAAATAGATATTGAAAACTAGCAATCAATACCGATCGGATCTGAACAACCGTCTTATGCTATAATAAGGTAATTCGAGACTGTGCAAGTTTATCTAAATTATTCAGTGAAATTAGCCTAAAATATAGCCATAATTTCAAATCTAAATTGCTGAGGCTAGTTCCCATGGATGAATAATTAAGAATCTATGTTTATGAATAGGTGAGATTTGCATAATTTGTGAATTATGCTATATAATCTCATCTATACGAATTCACAATAACAAAAAATGTACTAAACAGTTAACAAATAGTTGGGGTATTGTTTCCAAAGAAATATTACAATTAAAAAAAATTTAATTAATCAATCAAACCAAAACCTTGAGAAACAAAACTTATTAAGCACAAAAACAACAATAATTTGTAGTAATACGATAGATTTTTCTTAAGAATAACAATTGATTATCAATTAATTAATTATCAAATTTTGCATTTAATTTAACTTTGGAATTTAATCGATTTAATTAAAAGAATTTAGAAGGGTATCCAATTATAAGCTACTATTTATTTAAATAAAAAAACTCTGGTAAAACCAATAGAGAGTTATTAATAATAATTTAGTTTGTTTTTAATGCTGTTGTAATTTAATAATAAATAAAGTTAAAAAATTGAAATATAAATGTTTTTACTTGAGAAATAACTTTAATCTTTATGAATTAACTAGCCTACATTTTAACATAGATATTTCAAAAAATACTCTCTCAAATGAAATATCAGTCTCTCTATCAAGTTGTTAAAATACAACCCAATCATAATAAGCTGACTTATTCTATGCTATTTGATATATTTGCTAAGCAAGCGTAGTTCACCTAAAAATAGAATCTTTAGAAAAACAAAAATATCAATTTAAGATAGCATTTCTAATTGAACTTAGAAATAACATATGAAAACAAATCAATCACAGATTAGCTACTGCTATGATTAAATAAATGCTGTATTACATAGTATAATAAAGAGATTTTTGAATCGAATCTGAAAATTCCGTATAGAATTAAGCAAGAAAATTCAGAATAAAAGTACAGATTAATTTAAGCTGTATAGAAACTAATTGTATTTTGAGAATTCAAAGTCACAAAATTTAGTGATGATATATTATCTATTCTGGCTGGCGATTTAATCATAAGTCCTAATATTAATAGATATTATTTCATATAAAATTGTTATTTTTATCATAAAAATTAATTTAGAATAAAATATTATATTCAATTATGAATTAGGAAGTGAGCATTCCTTGTGGAAGATATGAATTTAATCCGGAAACTAAAAAGGTAGTAATGCAAAAAGCCAAAGGTTTTTTAAACTTAACTTTGAATGAGGAAAATGAATTATGGCTCAAGTGGTATAATTTGGATCAAAATAGTAGATTAGAATTTGTAAATAAATAAACAATACTTAGGAAAGAGCGATTTTTAAAGGAACAACAATTTTTGAGAAAGTTAAGGGATAGCATAGAGTTTATTTACTGAAGATCACAGATGAAGATTCAAAGTATTTTTTTTGGATGCAAGTAATCTAAAATATCTTCTAAAAAGAATGATGATGTTAGTGAGGATGAAACGTTCATACATTAGTTCAAAATGGTTCTTGATTCATAAATCATTGACGATCTAATAGAATTAGAGGCACATTCTCAAATAAATTAATAGCGGCCAGAATTTGTTGTTACATAAAATAATTATTTAGAACCCTAATAACGATTCCCTTTAATTAATATTAATTAATAATAGTTGTTTGAATTATTATAGTAGCAATTATATAGACATACAAATTAAGACCTCTAATTAAGCGATATATTGACTAGTGAATTCCTGTTTACTGTGATATAAGACTAGGATTATTTTGAAGCTTTGAAAGAGTATTAAAGAATGTTAGCTTAGATATTTACCGGTTGATCAACAAAACATGCAATACTTTAAAGATAACCTCTTAAGTCCATAATTCAAATAAGCTTTGGATCAACTTTGCTTAGCCCTACAAGGAAGAGAATAAAGCTCTGTCTTGTAATAATTAGAATTGGATAATTCAATTTTAGAGAAGGAATTTGATGGTGTTATAGCTTTTTTAAAAGCTATTATTAAACTAGTAAATCATGAAAATAAAATTATTTGATTCATCAATTGTAACATTATGTTTAATAGTTATAAAAATTATATAAAATAAAAAGAATATTTTCACAAAATTTTATGATGATGACAAAAGTTCATTCATTATATCACTTCCTTCGAGCTCTCTACATTTCAATTTTAAGAAAAGATACAAAAAATAGAGTAATTATTCAGCTACTTTTATTAAGTCAAATAACTATTGCAAAACACAAAATTTTAGACATCAAATCCGTATAAATGTGGGCAATAATTTAGAAATAATTTTGAGTTTAATTCAATTTATTTGAAATTTGCTAGAACACATATTTTTTTACACTTCACCCCACCCAAAGAGGAATTTGAACTTAATTGAAGTCCATCTAGAATGAGAATAATGATATTCAAATTTGAAGAAAGATTAATAGTTTTTCATGAATAAATAACTGATTGAAAATGGAAATGAATAGTAATTATTATAAGAATTATTACTTGTAAATTACTTAATTAGAATACATTATAAATATAATTTAAAAAAAATTCAACACACGTATAGACTTCCTTTACTTCAGAGTTGAGTACAATAATTATCTATTAATTACGTTGTGCATGCCAATAAATGTTAAATGATGTTATGCTCATTTAGAAGTTCATTAACTTTATGATGTTAATCTTAAGTTTTAATTCATTAAAAGGAGTTTGGTTGGTAAGAACTTTATATTTTTGAATTTGAGTAAGAAAAAAAAATACATAATTAAATGTTTCGCCCATAAGATGTCTATCTAAATGCACGACTTCATTAAATCAATATTTGGCATTTATCAAATTCTCCATACTGTTTCATGTAATGTCTATCTTTAAATCCAATTAATTCTTGAAAATATTATATAGTCATTAATAAATATTTTTCCCTTTTGAAGATTAAGCTACTGAAGAAAATATATACATATTTTTAATAAAATTATTCAATAATTGATTGCTTGATTAATGCAAAAATCAAGAGAGAATATGATGATAATTGTTAAAAAATAAATTCAAATTTAGGATTTGACATTGTGGCTGCACATAAACATGAAATTATGAAACATATCATTCCACATCAGAGCAGGGAGAGTTTCGTTTATAAACATAACACAAAAAAAAATAATATGAAAATGAAGCTCTAATCAAAGGAGTCAATCCAGAATAATTGAGTGAATTGGAAAGAGCAAAAAGATTGATGATTGGAACACTTACAGGAAGGCATCTTTAAAAAGCATTAACTTGAAAGGAATAATCCTTCATGAATTTTAAAATCTTAAATAGGAGTTTATTGATATTATTACAAATACACAACTTAACTAAGAAAATGAGCTGGGATAGGAAGATCAATTATTACGCTTGAAAATCATCTAGATATATAAGAGAATCAATGAAATATATTAAATCCCAATATAAATTTGCAGAAACCTCCCCTTTAATTGTACAAGGTATTAAATTATAACACCTTTCTGTGATTTGGTAACAAATTACTTATGGTCGTATTTAAATTAATTGTACTTTGAATTTAAATGGAATATATAATTTTCATAATAAATAATAAAATATTTTTATAATTAAAATACTTAGAAAATACTTAGTTTTGCCCCCAATTACAATTTCTTGGAGATTTTGGTATATAATAATTCCCAAAGATATTTGTAATAATGATATCTTAAATATATAAGATAAAAATTGTTTGTGAATTTTGAAAATTTGATTTTATCCGAATTGAGATTCCTTAATGTATTTCCATAAAAGCATATTTAAATTTGCATAATTTTTCTTTTTTCAATCAAAATATGAGCAAATTTATAATTCAATTCAAGAAAATATTTGTAGAAAAATTTGAACCAGAATATTCTATTTTGAATAGAATTGACCTTAAGAATTTAAGAATGCAAGATTTAATGTATAGGGTGAAATTAAATTATGCAATACAATTTATTGATGTCTGGTTTTCAATATTAAATTAATCTAGCAATTAATAAAATAAAAAATATAAATTAATTAAAAGTTTCTTTAGTTCAAGAAGATGGTGAAATTATTTATTTCTTTAAAAGGTTTCATTCTGCGATTTAGGTAAAAGAATGATACAGTTCAAAGTTTGATAGACATTAATTAAGGATGGAAAATAATCAAATATTAAAAGCAAAAAAAATATTATTAGCTAACAAAAAGAAAATTCATACTCTTTTTGAGGTTGCAGACAATTATCATCATATTTTGAAATTTATGCCGATTATTTTGAATTGATGATAGTTTTATGATTATATTGGTGATGTTGAATTAATTTTTTAGATATTTATTTAGACAATTACGTATTTAATATATCCATAATTACGTTATCACATTATTTATATTAATGTTCTAGCCTATCTTTGGAACAATTCTTTATCTGAGTTACATCATCAAAGTTTAAGGTGTTTCAGAAGTGATATCATCTTCATTTTAAGGAAATAGTTTTTCTAATGCCGATAGTAATTATAATGTTCATATAAACGTAGATTGGGTTGTAAGCGGAGGCAATCCTTCATTTACAGAATGTAATGGCACAAGATTATTTGGTGGTTTTAATGCCTTTGGGAAAAAAATTAGCGTTACAAAGACTTTTATACTTCCTCCTCATTTTTAAGTAAACTTGTAATTGTAATTTTGGAAGTACAATATGTAAATATCATAGGATTGACTCATGGAACTCCGAATATGCATATATTTTTGTAGATTCACAGGTGGCATGGTAGTAATAATACTCATTATATGATGGAATTTAAAAGTGTGGCATAGATAATTAAGATTTATTAGTGAATTTGGACTTAAAAATTAAACATAGTGGTCCGTCAGTCGTAATAGTGTTAACAACAAATTTAGATGACGATCCTGACAATGTAATATTTTAGATTATTTTATAAGGAATCTTGGGGATTTAGAGATTTTGTTTTATCAGTTGAGAAATGTCCAGATGAATGTCTAGTATGCTAATAGGCTGATACATATTTTTAATGCTCAGTTTGGAAGATCTTATAGACAAGTTGGACTTAATTAAATGAAAATGGAATATAATCTGATGGTTGGAATACAAATCATGGAAGTTCCAATGCGACGTAGTGCGGATGTAAATAAAATAATTCAAATTAGCTGTTGCTTTATTTGGTGGTTATAATCAAACAGCTAATACAGTTATCAGTAAGACTTTTTTTAATATTCCACCCCATTATAATTTAAAGATCCAATTTTTGTGGGCTAAAATAGACTCTTGGGATAATGAAGCAGCTAAGATGATAGTAGATGGTGTTTTGGTTTGGGAAAGAAAATTTTACTGGCATTAGGGCTACTTTTATAAAATATGTGGAAATTCAGCTGCAGACCATCGAACATTATTTGTTAGAAATGAATAAGATATAAGACATACAAGCAGCCAAGTTGTAATTTCATTCACTTCCACATTAAATGAGCGACCAACTGATGAGTCATTTGGTATAAGAGACTTTGTTATTTTTTATGGAGCCTGCACAAATAATTGTGTTCAATGTACAGGACCTAGTGGATCTGAATGTTTATGTATATTTTTAAATAAATTGACTAGCTTGTGCCAAAGGAAGTTATAACACCGGGGTTATCGATAGCATGTGTCAATGTAATTTCTTGTTGATTTAAATTAGTGTGTCATCCATCATGTTATAAATGTGATGGACAAAATATAGACGACTGTATTGATTGTGGAGACCCAATTATAAATAACAAATAATTAGTAGCTGGACAATGCATATGTGTATAAAAAACAATAGAATAAATTCAGATTGATGGGACAACCATATGTTTGCGTATCTAGTTTGAATTATAACTTTTAGCTTGTCATCCAAAATGTGAGAGGTGTTAACTTCCATTTGATAATTCAATTAATTAGTATTGCACAATGTGCATAGAAGGATAGAATAGAATTGTCTCCGATTAACTCAATTGTATTTGTAAGCCTGGTTATGGTGAGGATGGTATTTCTGAAGTTTGTTTTAGTAATTATCTTCTTAATTTTAGAATGTCATTACACATGTGAGAATTGCAATGGTGTTTTAGCAACGAATTGTACAACCTGTTCATCATCTTCTAATCGTCATCTGAATTCTGATAATCAGTGCTTATGCAACAAATTATATAAAGATACTGGAATCAATAATATAAACTGTTTATGTAATTTATCGAATATCACTATTTTTTAGATATTTGTCATCATACATGCGCTGATTGTGATTTGGCTGGAGAAGATTAATGCACGGAATGTCCATCTACAAGATAACCAGATAGAATTGGAACCACTTTCTAATGCTTGTGCAAAGATTCTCATTATTTCAGCGATAACATTCAATTGTAATGTTTGGAGTGTCATTTCACTTGCTAAACTTGTAATGGCCGTTATTCTAATAACTGTCTGACATGCAACACTACTTATCGTCAATTAGCAATGTCTAATTGTATTTGTCATTATGGATATTATGATGTTGGTTAATTAAAATGTTCCCGTACTTATGTTTATTATTTAAAGCATGCCATTATACGTGTACGACCTGCTTTGGTCCAGCTATAGATAATTGTCTAACATGTGCCTCTAGTAATAATAGAGAATTTAAGACTAATAGGTGTGTTTGCCAATATACCTATATAGAAAAATAAGTTGGTGACCCTATGTGTTAAAGTAATAATTGCATTAAACCACAGGTTGCTCATATCGTTGTGCTAATTGCAAAGGCACAGTTTAAAATTGCACATCTTGTCCACTCTACTCTCTTAGGGATCTAGGAATAAAGAATTCTTGTTCTTGTCCAGCCAAAACATATGACCAACCTGGCAATCCAATCTGCATAGGTAGATATATGATTCAACTTAGTTTGTCATAGTTCTTGTTAAAAATGTAATGGAGATTAACCAAATTAATGCACATCCTGTTATACTTAAATTATGAGAAAATTGGATCCCTCAGGATCTTGTTTATGCATGAGTTAATATTATGATGTCGGAAAGCCAGAGTGTCTAGGTATAAATCAATATCATATTTAGCATGCAGCACCTATTGTTTGAATTGTGCAACTTCTGCTAATAATTGCATATCTTGTAAATCAGATAGATACTTATAAGGAAATGTTTGCATTTGTAAAACTAAGTCAAACGGAGTTGCCATTAGTAGTTATTAAGTTAATGGCAATGTTCGCTGTCAAAGTTAGATCATAATAATTAACATAGGTTGCCATTATTCTTGCTTAAATTGTAATGGGCCTAAATCTAATCAATGTACACAATGCTTGGCTAGTGAAATGAGAGTTTTATAAAATTCTAGTTGTCCTTGTTCTCCTCATTATTTTAATATTGGCAAGCCAAAATGTTAATGTATATTTGTAATTCTAAATATTAGAATGCAATTATAGGTGTGAAACTTGCTCAGGAATAGAAACTACATGTCTGACTTGTTATCAAAACTCTTTTAGAATCCTTATCAATTAGAAATGTCTATGTTAAGACGGATATTTTGATAACGGTTCTAATTTCATATGTTAAAGTAATTTAAATTACTATCATTAATAGAATGTCATTATTCTTGTTATTAATGCAGCTCTACTTCTAAAAAATGTGTTTCTTGTTCACCTACATCCAATAGACTATTGAATGTATAGATGTTCGCTTGTAATTGTTTGGATTCTTATTATGATGCTGGAGTGGAAGCTTGCGCAAAATGTCATTATTCTTGTTTTACTTGTAATTCTTCTGGATATAAATTTTGTCAATCTTGTGTAGATATGTCAACTTCGTTTAGAGTGTTTAATTAAGGAATATGTCAATGTTTACCTGGATATTTTGATGATGGAATTTCTCCACATTGTCATCAATGCTAGAGTCAATGTTTAACTTGCTAAAACAATGCTGATTATTGTACATCTTGCGAAGCTACAAGACATTTAGATGGAAATAATTGTCCATGTAATACAGGTTATTATGTAAATGATCTGGGTAGCTGTAGTTAATGTGATCAAAATTGCTTAAATTGTAAAATTAGTTCTTCAAATTGTGTTGAATGCGATTAATCATTAATGAGAATATTAGATACCAAAACTAAATACTGTATATGCAAGCCTGGAACTACTGAAATTGATGGTTTATGCTAACCTTGTGATATTACTTGTTAAACATGCCAAAATTCAATCACGAATTGCACTTCTTGCAAAATTTTGAGAGTGTCATCTAACAATTAATGTAATTGCATAGATGGTACATATGAGAGTGGTAATGATAAATAGTGTTTATTTTGCGATAAAACCTGTNTTAGTTTGTCATAGTTCTTGTTAAAAATGTAATGGAGATTAACCAAATTAATGCACATCCTGTTATACTTAAATTATGAGAAAATTGGATCCCTCAGGATCTTGTTTATGCATGAGTTAATATTATG